ATAAGAACCAAGATGCATCATGTAAAGGTACAATTCCCAATGAGAAATGTAATTGTGTTGTGTACCTAAAATGTACCAATAAAAGAATTTAATTAAAAAAAAAAAAGAAATTCCCATGTGACAGATGTCTTTCTATGTAGAGGGGAAAATAATATTCTTATCATCAAGGATGAGAAGTTGAGATTGAGAATTCTGCACAGATCTTATTAAAATAATTTATCCTCTAGTCTCTCCATATCATTTAATTACTTTTTCACAACTTATTTCCTTTTGTCTACTTCAATATATAAAGGTTTGGGTTGGGGATTTATCTCAGTTGTTCTGTTGCCTAACTCACAGGCACAAGGTCCCAAGTTTGATCCCCGGTACCAAAAAAAAAAAAGAAAGAAAGAAAGAAAGAGAGAAAGAAAGAAAAAAAGAAAAATACACATATATACAGGTTTAACTTTAACTGAATCTTTGGATCTTCATTTCTTTGTGAGGGCATCTGTGTCATGTAAAACTTAGAGTAAATACAGTTGTATGATTTTCTCCTGCAGACTTGTCTTATGTTGATTTAATTCTCTGGTGTAGCTGGAAAACCCTAAGAGGTCAGAGGTGAAATTTTACCCTCCCTCTATGAGCATGCTTTCCTGGCCACAGTGGACTGGACCATGGGTCACCACTTGACTTTGGATGAGCCAGGCAAATATCCAGTCTTGTATTTTGGATTTGTGAGCCAGCTAGCTGTTAAAGATATGGTCTCCAAAATTACACCGAAGTGGGTTCAGTCAATGCTAGAGGAAAGCCAAGGTCACAGGGAAGCAGAGATCCTAAGCCAGGTAGCAGAGAAAAAACATGGCAAAATGGTGCTGAGGGGGGCCTGCTAACATGGATGGCAGAAAGAGAAAGAATTAATCTCTCATAGATTCTCATTTCTAGAGAGCCAGTCCCCATGAGGCCATCTTTGTTTCTGTGAAATATCAGCAACTTAACTAAAGAAAAAAATTCTTTTTCCTTTCCTGTAAACAAGCCGGAATGGATATGTATTTTTTCTAACCGAGAGTATTTTAGCTACATCAGAGTAAGTAATTGCATTTGGGAAAAGAGAAAGCCTCTCCAGTCCACTTGAACTTAGGGCCTTAGTGAGCACTTAAATGGCCAAAGATCAGGACCTTGCAAGCAGGAAGTCCCACTGGTCACAGCCATCTTCTCCCAGAAGCCTCAGCCACTGCCACTCAGCTGCCCACTCTTTGTTTCTTAGCACTAGGTTCATACCCTGTCTCAGCACACCTTCCTTTATGTCACCACATGCTTAGGAAACTATAAATTCCACTGGGGTGGGACCTAGCACAGGACCTTGGAAAGAGTCTGTGCTCAGTACAAGTTTGCAGGCATGTATTTTGTTGAGTTGAACTGAATTCCAATCAAGATCCCATCCACACTAAGCACTATGAGACCCATTTTCCCCACTCTTTAAAACAGAGATGGAAACTCCTATTTTCTGCTCATCATAGAGTCACTGTAGACAGTTATTGAAGAACTGTAGAGTGTCATGCACACATGATGGGTTATTACTGGGTGAAGATGTTAGGGTAAAATTACTAAGAGAAGCATGTGATGGGAAAGTGACCAGTGAGCAAATCAAAAGTGTCATGATCAACTTAATTCAAAGAAGTTTAATATAATTGCTACAGAGCTCCTACTTCTTTTCAAGTCATGCACCAGTCCCTGTATGCCAAATAGGCTAGAGTCTTAGGATCTTTATACAACAGCCTCATTATTTTTTCGTTGCCTCTATCAATGTGGCTTGCATCTGACAATGTGGTAGGCACCAACTGTCCCAGTGAGGAGTATCCAGAATGAATCTGGCTGCTACTTAGGTCTGCTATTTAGTATCCTTGAACATTGTGGCTGGATTTTCTTCAGTCCTGGCATCCTGGCTTCCTCTCCCTTCTCCAGAACCAAAGGCTGAGATCTCAGAATGTCCACAGCTTGAACATGTTATGACACTGCAGGAATCAGAGAGAATGTCAGACCAATCTGGGTCAAAGCTCTTGTCATTTATAGCTTGGTGGCCTTGGGCGAGTCATTTACTTCTGTGGACCTGAGTTTTCTCATCCACCATATAAAGATAAGAACCTACACTGTGGTTCACTGGCAAGAAGGTTTATGAAACTAATGGAAGTGAGACAAATGGCTCAGGACCTGGGTCATAGGTGTATGCAATAAATAACTCTGCAATGGTGACAATGGCAATGATGATAATGATGGTGATGATGATGATGGTGATAGGATAATGAGGCAGATTAATTAGAACTTGAGGAAAAGAGTGATAAGGGGTACAGAGATTCTGACTGGCAGAGCTAGAAAAGCCCTGAAACTCCCCTGGTCCAGTGGGATTTGGTGCATGATTCATGGTGCCATCCCAACAAAGAAGCTCACTGCCTCCAGTCATGGGAACTCCTTTCCTCCTGTTTCCTGAGGTGGCCATTGTCCTGAGGGTGGAAGGGCCTTTTTCATTGTGGCCTGAATCTTCGGGAGAGGCTTCATTCATATCTGGGCATCCCTGGGTGCTGATGGTTGCAGTGGCTTGGAAGCCCACTCTGCCTTCTTAGAGCTTTGTCTGCATTGAGGAAGTGATAAGAAGGACTGTGCATGGTTGGAGAGAAGTGTTGGGGAAACTTGGGAACTACCTGGATTTCTGATTGGCATTGGCCCCAATCACAGGGTATCCCAAGCTACTGACCCAGACTCGACTCACATGATGATTCCAAAGTGGTTCCCAAGGAGGTAAGTGGTATCATCTTTCTTTCTACGGTGCTCTTGTCTTTGGAGGAAGGACAAAACCAAAATGATGAGAAACTGTAAGAGAAGATGAGCAAGTTAGTAGGCTGTTCATCCTCAGCCTGGCCTTGATGCCCTCACAGAAAGAGAATGTGTAGGTGAGAAGAATGCTTGGTCCAGGACATCTCTAGTTCAGAGTCATGAGCTGACTACACACACATGAGCTGCCAAAATGTTTTGTACTGAGTTTTCCTTTGTGTTGCCCTGATCAGACATAGGTTCGAATGGAACTTCTCCCACATTATGCCCAGAAGGAACTCCTAACTTCCATGGACCTTGGTTTCTTCATCTGTAAAAAGACAGTAATATCTATGAGGCTGCAAATCCTTTTCTGCTATGTTCCTGTGGATTCAGTCATGTTCTCATTCACTTGATACACTTTCCTTCTACTAGAAATTTCTTGAGCGTTGTCTACACCTAAGAGTTGTCTCCATCTCCTGACCTCTCACTGGCTCTTTAACCCCTTTAATTTGGTTTCTACCCCATCACTCCATTGAAACTGCTATGGCCATGGTCACTACTGGCCATCAATCCAATTACGCTTTAAACCCAAATCCAGCTTCGTCTCTCAGCAGCATGCCTCAGTGCTGACTACTTCCTGCTTTCAGAAACATTCTGCCCTAGGCTTCCATCAACCATGCTTTCTGCCTTTCCATTACTTCTGCCTTTCTCCCTTTCCAATACTTTTCAGTCTCCTTTGCTCGATTTTTCCCCAGCTCCTAGATTTAGGGCTCCTCAAGGCTCCATTCAAGGGGGACTTTTCTTTGTACCTGGTCTTTTCCTCCTCAGTGACTTCATCCATGTCCATGCTTTTAATGACCCTTGACACACAGAAGACTCACAAACCTGCATCTGTACCCTAGCCCTTGCCCATGGCTGTGCAAACTATGAGACTTCACAGTTGACATTTTTTTCTGGTTTGTTGAAAGCATTTCAAGTACAGTATATCTTAAATGAAGCTCACAATTTTCCTCCCTGCCCTGTTGCTTCATTGATCCCAAACCAGGATCTCTTCTAATTTTCTATAACTAGTGAATGTCAAATGCCATCATCCTTCCAGTTGTGCAGAAACCCAGGACCATCCTCAGCCTCTCCCTCTCCCTAACCATCCTGCCCAACCTACGATGAAGTCCTACTGTTTTCATTTCCCAATATCTTGAGTTGACCACTGTCATCTAGAATGAGCTAAAGCCTCCTCTCCCCAGACCCCTGCAACAGTCCCTTAGTTGGTCTTTCAGCCCTGTGTGTTGCCCATCTCCAGCTTGATCTCTATGTTAAGTGAGAGTGAGCTTTTAAAAACATATATCTGATCACACCACTCTCATGCGAAAAATACTTCAATTACTTTCCATTGTACTTAGAAAGAAGACAAAATGCAGCACAGAGCCCCATGGGGCTCTTCTTGGTCTGGGCCTGCCTACCTTCCCAGATGTCCCACATCAGCCATCTTGGCCTTCTCAGTTCCCTCCACTCTCCGTGCTTCTTTCCTCCATAGGACTTTTGCACAGGCTCTCTCCTCTGCCTGAAATGTTCTTTACTACATCTTTCAGCAGACTGTGGCTCTATCTCTACTTTCTCAGAAAGGTTTTTCTTTTTTTAACTCCCCTACAAATCAGTATCCCCATTAGACTTAAAAGATTTCTTCTGTCTGTTCACAGTGTAAGAAAATTAGCCAAAGTTTAGAAGAAATCTCAGCTGGTGTCTCTCCCTGACATATTCAGGTACCTTTGGGAGCCTGAATAGCACAGCTACACAATTTCTTTTTTCTTCCATTATGGTTTGTATCTAGATGTCCCCCCAAAGTCACGTGTTCATAGGTGGGACTTTTTGGAGCTGGCTGGATCTAGGGTATGTGATACTGGGATTAATGATGTGTGGTACAAAATTAGTCCACTGTTTGGCTTAGCATAGTTCTGGGTATGGATAATGGGAAGGCCTATCCTAGGTGTGGGTGGCACCACCCAAAAGGCTTGTAGCCTAGATGGGATTAAAAGGAAAGGGAGGCTTACTGCTTGCTGCCTCCTGCCTGCTCTGCCATGGATGGTTTCTCCTCTGCAATGCCCCTCTGCCATGCTGCCTTGCCTTGGAGCCAGCTAACTATGGACTGAAACCTCTACAAACTATGAGCAGAAATAAACCTTTCCTCCTTTAACTCATGGGTGTTTGGTACTTTGCCCCAGAAACAAGAAAAGTAACTAAGATACCTCCCTTCCCTTTACTTACTGATGGGATGAGGGAGTAATGGAGAAAAAGTTCCATGTCCAGTGAACGTGTACAGGTGACATTTAGCTGCCTGGTGCTGAAAAACAATGGCAAAAAAAATCGTATTTATATAATTAGTCACAGCTGGGTGTGGTGCCACACACTTGTAATCCCAGCGCTTGGGAAGCTGAGACAGGAAGATCACTGTGAGTTCAAGGCCAGCCTGGGCTACATAGTAAGTTCAAGACTAGTCTTAACTACATAGTGAGACCCAATCTCAAAAAAACAACAAAACAAAACAAAAACAACATATAATCAACAGTTACTGCTGCAGTCATTGACTCTTTATCCTTAAGCATTACTCTTAGGAGTTTGGCTTATTATGATCTTTTTCAGCTTTGTTTTCTCAGAGCCAGGGCTGCTCACCTACTATATGTCTTCCATCTTCCTCAAATGGACTAATCTTCTTGTATTTCTTTTTCCAGCTCAGTTATTTACCCAACTTCCCTGATAAATGGAACTAACTCCTTCATTTCGTTCTTCTTTTATTAGTACATGATTGCAGTACATGCAGTTTACAATCATCTTGGGGACTGAGTACATATATATATAATATAGCTTGATTCTTTTTTTAATCCCCTTCCCTCCCACCTCCTTCCCTCCTCCTCTAAGTATCCTTTTCCCATTTTTGTTCTTGTTGATATTACTAATCTTATCACTCATGTTTATGACATATAATGTTTATATTCATTGAGGTTATTAGGTTCTTGTACATGGCATATCTTTATTGTACTTATTTTCTCTTCCTCACCTGCTCTCTTCTTCATTTCATTTCTTTTCTTTTTTTTTTTTTTTTTGGTACCAGGGATTGAACTCAGGTCCTTGCGTTTGTGCAGCAGGAGGCAAAACCACTGAGCTAAATCCCCAGCCCTCTTCTTCATTTCTTGATGACACCATTAGAAGCAGATTCAGGTTCTACAGTCCCTAAATCTTATATAATTTGGGTGCTCCCTTTAAATAAAACTATAAAAAAATATTCATTTTTCATAATTTAAGGAAAACATGTAATGAATGACTTAACTGGGATCCCTCTAACCCTTCCAAAGCTTTGGAAAGTCCTGTGTGAGTGAGGGGTCCTGAAATTGAGGCCTCATTAGCTTCACAGGAAACCAGTTTGTGGACATGCTTTTCCATGGCCAGGGTCAGGATGCACCAACTGGTCTGTAGGGCTGGAGAGGCTATCAGACTACACCCTGCAGATTTTGTCCACTCCAGTCCTGCTATTTGTGGGACAGGGCTGGAGGGGTCTCATGTCTGAAACATAAGGCAGTAGTTTCACCACTTCTTTTTGAAAGAGGCCCTCTCCTTTCTGGGGCTCCCACACACTTTGTTCTTGCTGTTCTGACTTCTACAATATCACCACAGCCCACTCTATCACATTTCCAGATCTTTGCACATGCTGTTCCCAACACTCACAGCATCTGTCTAGCCATCTCCAGGGTTTCCTTCCCTGCCCATTTACCACTGTTCTCTCAGCAGCCTGAAGGAAGAGCACTCTTCTAAGCAGTCCAGGAGCATGACACGTTTCCCTGTAATTTTTTAAAATGCCAGTAACCCATGGGTAAGTCTAACTCTCGATCTGGATCATCCAATCAGTGGTGGGTTAGAGGCGGGTGAGACTTAAGCTGTTAGAAATGTAATAGGACTATAAAGTCTTCTCTCAGGATAATAAACTAAATCCTCAATCAATATAATTCATCCCATATAAAATAGTAGGAAAGAAGGAAGGAAGGAAGGAAGGAATAAAGGAAGGAAGACCACAGCCAGACTGAAAGCAAGAAGGGGATCTATCAAGAACACAGAAACTAATAGAAAATCCTGAGCAACGGGGATCAATTGGAACTATATCAAAGAGAAAAAGCACCAGCCAACACAACCACAGGTTGTTGGACCATGCAGGAAGTACTTCATGCCATAGCATAAGAAGCAGAGAAATAATGGTGCCAGAATAGACCACACAGAATGATAAGCTGGGGTCTTACAAAGAGAGCAATAAGATAGGATGTTTTTGCCCAAGTCCTATTACCTCTGGTTACTGTCCAGGGGCAGTGGGGTTTATGTCTTCGGGGAGTAGAAGACATGTGTCACTCAGAGAGAGGCAGTCTCCTAAATTGTAGGTAGCACCTGGTAGGCATCAGGAGATTGGGCATTGACGGGCTAGCTGCTGAGGTATCTGACATCATTTTTAAGCAGAATGGGGTCAGACTAAACTTGCTTTTTAAAAATTTAATAAACAAAGGAGATTTCTTATGCCAGTATATATAAATACGTCTAATTCTTTTTGATGGATGACTCTGCTGGGCAGATTCTCCATGGGGCCCATCTCCTTCATGAAGAGGCTGAGCCGGGAGGCAGTCTTTTAGTAACAGGTGAGCTCAGAGAAGACCCACAGGTAGCTCTCTAAATAAGGGGTGCAGAGGCACCAAATCTGGTCCCCTTACTAACCTCCAACTCCATCAGCCACTGTACTAAACAGATGACACATATAAAAGTCAACACAAGTGAGAAGGCCACCGAGACCCATGTCCCACACTGCTTCCTGCTATACCCAGGGCTGCTTGGGTGAATGTGTTGAAGCTAAAGAGCAGTGGCCTGACCATTCCCCTAACTGTAGAAGATCTGCCCAACACTGAGAGTGGCTGAAAAATGTGTTTGTGATACAGTGTTAAGTTAAAAAACAACAACAAAATAAAAGATTGTGAAGAGTGGCCATCTCTGGATGGAACTGGAAGCCATTCTATTTTCTTTTTCTTTATGTTTTTCTGAGTTTCCCAGGTGCAGTACAACAGACATATATTACTTGACAGCTGCATATCTATCCCATGAACATAAAGCAGCATCTGACACAATGTAGACAATAATAAACAGGTGGAGTGAATGAATGGATTGCTTTTGCAACCAAGAGAAGACTGAATGTTGTCCCAAAGCAAGAGAACACTGTTCTGAAGGGAAGACATTCATGAAACCAGCATTAAGTGAAACCATGCAAAGTATGTTCTATGATAGGGAAAAACGGACAAATCTGTCGTTAAGGTAAAGAAATTGAATATAATAGCTCTGTTGCCCAATCTGAGTATCAACATATATCTAGAACATAGTTATCTTTACTCCACCTCACTTCTCCAACACCTCAGGACAGACTGTCTGCCAAAGGTATGGGGATAGTGTCCCATAATCCTACTTCCTTTGGTCCTAACTTGGTCACTGTATGGTAATAAGTATTGAAACTATATTCCATTGACTGACATCACTTTCCTGTGTGCCACTATGTCCTGGGCACTCTATATTGTCTAACTTAATCTTTTTAAGAATTTTATGAGATAGGTTTATTAGCCCCCTTTTAAAATGAGGAACTGAGGCCAGGAGAATTCTAATGCCTTGCCAAGGAGAAGAGAAGGTTGGAGCTGGGGTCTCCTGTGGTAAACCCCCTGTCCGCCCAGGTGCAGGCTCATCCGGCTGCTCTGTTCCTAGCTCCCAGACTTCCCTGGCCTTTGGACTGTTGCTGTCAGTGACCCTGAGTCTCTCTCAGCACCTGACACAGAGAGGCTCAGGGGAGGTTTGTTAAATTCCATGGAACTCTCCAACGGGAAGCTTCAGCCCAGAGAGGAACAGGGATCAGGGAATATCATGCAGCCGGGGACTATTCCAGTGATCTCAGTGAGCAGAGTGGAATGGATCCTGCTGGTCAGGCAGAGGTTATAGGAGGAGAAAGAGGTGCACACTGTGTGTGTGTGTGTGTGTGTGTGCGTGCGTGTGTGTATGGGGCAGCACAGCAGCCTGTGCTTTGGGAAGTCTGCTTCTGTGAGATCCCAGGAATCTGCACACTCCTACCTTGGAGCTCTGAGGTAGACAAGGAGGTGTGCTGGGAAGAACCAACTAACACTATCAGGAATTTGCAAGGCAGCCATTATATAACACAACTGCCAAAACCAGAATTATATAAATGTAATTAAATGAGTTATATTAAAAACAAAAGAAATAAAGACTCAAAACTCATCCTTTCCTAATCGTTTGACTACCTTGTACTATTAGCTATGTTCTTGAGGCTCTTTCCACCGGCTATGTCTGTCTGGAGGGTGGAAACACTGTGAGGGTGACATAAGTCACTGAAGGACTAATTACACTGTGAGAATCTGTAATCATTACAAATCAGGGCACAGTTTATTGTTCTGCAGATTGTCTACTCAGTGAGAGAGAAAAATGTTAACAATGCAGATTTTAAAATATGTTATATTTGTACCCATTACATTGTAAATAACAAAAAAAAAAGCCTGAAGAAATATTATTCCAGGATTCAAAAATGGTTGTGCCAGTCACCAAAAAAAGTTTTGATCAATTGATGAACAGGTGAAATTCTATCATCTTACTTTGTTGTTTCACATTTGTCTTACTCATTAATGTAAATAAAAATGTCAAACAACATGAGTCGAAACTATGCTCATTGATCGGTTGCAATCATAGGTTGGCTATAGAAATAAGGGTTCAGCAAAAATCAATGAAAGCATTCTATGGAAATTAATTGGCTACATGGAATTTGTAATAAAGAGTATATATTTTGTTATTATTCATAGATTGTGTGCGATATCTGTTATAGCAACATAACTTACAACAAATTTATGTACAAGTCTGTGCCCTTTTTCCCTCTGGAAGCCAGTTGTTAGACTTTTTCCAGCATGCCACTGGCAGATGTGGCCCTGGCCTTGGGCATGGCTTGGAATCAGGAGGATGTTTCAGTTAGGAGCACAGAGGTAAATATTAACTATACTTTAGGAGACAGTGGAGTTTAGCGTGCAGAACCTAGGAAGAAGCCATTGCCTTATCCTCCCCTCTGTGCTGCAGTCTTTTCCCTACTCTGTAAAAGGAGGAGACTGGCCCAGATCAGTATTTCTCAAATTTTTGACAAGTCACGTTTGTATGTGTTACATACAACGCACAGTTGTAACTATGACTTGGTTCAGATGACTTTGCTAGGGTCATCTGTTCCTGAAGGCCTCAGGCAGATGACACATTCAGCAAATATGTGTCTTTGTGCTGCCA